CGCGCAGCGTCTCCAGAACGAGCAGAGACACCAGCAGCAGGGTCCTCAGTACCCGCAGTAGCTCCAACGTCCGGGTCCTCAGCACCAGCAGCAGCTCCACCGCCCGGGTCCTCAGCACCAGCAGCAGCTCCAACGCCCGGGTCCTTAGCACCAGCAGCAGCTCCACCGCCCGGGTCCTCAGCACCAGCAGCAGCTCCACCGCCCGGGTCCTCAGCACCAGCAGCAGCGCCACCGCCCAGGTCCTCAGCACCAGCAGCAGCTCCAACGCCCGGGTCCTCAGTACCAGCAGCAGCGCCACCCCCAGGGTCTGCAGCACCAGGAGCACCACTCCGAAGACTGCAGCGCCGCGCGTACCACTCTCGGATCTGCTGAATGGGGGGGAGCTCCTGGGTAGGAGGGGAAGTACTGGTACGAGCTCCAGCAGCACCTCTCCGGAGGCGGCAGTACTGTAGGTACCTCTCCTGCAGCTGCTGGGAGGAGAGGGCTCCTCCAGGTGTAGCACGCTCAGGCTCAGCACCTCCAGACACAGCACCCCCAGGCTCAGCACCTCCAGACTCCGCACCCCCAGGCTCCGCACCCCCAGACTCAGCACGGTCAGGCTCAGCACCCCCAGGCGCAGCACCCCCAGACGCAGCACCCCCAGACGCAGCACCTCCAGGCTCAGCACCTCCAGGCTCCGCACCCCCAGGCTCAGCACCTCCAGGCTCCGCACCCCCAGGCTCAGCACCCTCAGACTCCTCACGGTCAGGCTCAGTACCCCCAGCAGGACGAGAGTCAACAGCTACCTCGACAGGCTCAACCGGGTCTACCTGGGACACACCTGAGGGAGCGGCACCCTGAGGGGGGAGGGGGTCTGGTACCTCAGCACCTGGAGCGAGGAAGAGAGGCGGGGGGGGGAGCGGGGCAGTGCGGTAGGGGAAGAGGCGGTAGTAGGGGACGGACTCGTCAAAAGTGACGTCCTGAGAGGCCAGGACACGACGCGAGGTGGGGTGGTAGAACTGCCAACCAGGCGCGTCCGGGACAAAGCCAAGGAAGACACAGGGGACAGCTCGACGGGAGAGCTTGTCCGCGGACGTATCGCGAACAAAAGCTCGAGATCCCCAGACCCGAAAATGCGACGCATCGCCAGCCTCTCCCGTCCAACGCAGTGTCGGAGAAGTCTCCGGTAAGGAGACACGGGGCCAGAGGTTGAGCTGATGCGCAGCGTATCGGACTGCAAACGGCCACAGAAAGTGGGGGGCAGCCGCATGAACCAAGGAGGTACGAGCGACCTCCATGACCAAGCCAATGCGGCGCTCAGCAACCCCATTCTGCTGTGGAGAGGCCGGAAGCGTGAACGACTGCTCAATGCCCTCCTGCTGACAGAAGGCCTCCAAGAGGCCAGAGGAAAACTCCCCACCTCTGTCAGAGTGCAGACGCAGGACAGGGAAGTCGGAGCGGAAACGCTCACTGAGCTGGAGACGAGATCTGCGGATCCAAGGGATCAAGACATCAGGGACGTCACCCTTGGTGCGTAAGGGGAAGACCGTGGTGTAGCGCGAGAAGTCGTCAACAACAATCAGGAAGTACCTCTCCTGACCCTGACCACGGACGCGGGCTGGGCCCCACACGTCCATGTGGAGCGTCTGCAAAGGAGCAGTCGTCGGGGGGAAGGAGGAGGAGTGAGGAGCGGCGCGCTGCCGCCCCTCGACACAGGGAAGACAGGGAGGAGCAGGCGAGGGTGGGAGGGGAGGGAGAACCCTGGGAAGACCAGCAACAAGGTCCCGTTTGTGCATGGCCCGAAGGCGCTGCACAGACGGGTGACCAAGACGGTGGTGCCAGAGGACAGTCTCATGCGCCAGAGAGCGACACGAGCAGGGGGCGGACAGCTGACCTGACGCAGACGCAGACGCGGACGCAGCTACCTGAGGGGACTCAGTGGTCAGTGTGTACAGGTCCGACCCCGGCTGCCGAGTGAAGGTAGCCAGGTGACGGCCCGTCCGAGCACACGTGCAGTGGGTCACGCGCTCGTAAGCAGGGGTGAACTGGTGAACACCCCCGTCCTGGAGCGCACTACCTGCCACCAAGTTCGTAGAGAACGAGGGGAGGTAGAGGCCTGACAGTGTGCCTGACGGGACCGCAGGACAAGGAAGGACAGTGGAGGAGGTCGCAATGACCGGACCCCCTGAGGGGTCAGCGAGGGAGACAGCAACTGGCCGAGCAAGCGGCTCAAGGGCAGTGCGGTCACGAAAGAAACAGCGAGAAGCACCTGAGTCCAGTGTGAAGGTGTGCAGTGCTGCAGTCGACTCAGTACCAGAGGGCACGGACTCACTAGCACCTAGAGCAGCAGCCTCACCAGGACCTGGGGCAGCAGACTCACTAGCACCTAGAGCGGCAGCCGGACTGGTCTGAATGCCCGGGTCGGGCGGAACACGCAAGTACTGAGCACCCTCTCCACTAGTAAACATCGCATACATGGCAGTGAGAATAGCATCAAAGTCTAAAGCCCAGATATCAACTCCCTTCTTCTCCAGATCAGCCCAGCGGGGCAGCTCAGTGGCATCAGGAAACTGGGCACGCCACGCGTCAGTAAGGCGCGCGAAACAGCGCTGTGTGGGATGCGGCCTCCCACACTGCTGGCCAGTGCGGTCACCAGTGCGAATGACGTACGTGCAGGTAAAGCCACGCTGCGCATACCACTCACGGGCGGCCTGAAGCGACGGGGCGGGCTGCTGACTCTGGCCACCGCCAGCGCCTCCACGACCACCACTGCCGCCGCCACCGCCTCGGCCACCTCCACCCCTGCCGCTGCCACGACCACCTCCGCCTCCGCTGCCGCCTCCACCCCTGCCGCCACTCCCGCCGCTGCTGTCACCACCCCCACTGCCGCCACTAGCCTCCCCAGCCGCTCCTCCACTCCCACCGCCTCCACCCCCACCTCCTCCGCCGCCACCTCCACCCTTGCCCCCTTTGCTCTTGCGGCGCCCGCTCGAAGCAGACGCGGCCCCGACCTTCTCAGCACCAAGGAGGTCGACAGCAGCAGCAGAGGCGACAGAGGGGAGGAGAGGGGAAGGGGAACACCCCTCAAAGAACGGGGTGCGGGGGTCGCCACGAGAGGTGCCTACAGCGACGATGCTCGCCTCAGCTGCAAGCAGTTCCTTCTCGAGGAGGGCAATGGTGAGTTCAGTGGGGGAGCGAGAGAGGAAGTGGTCCCTGACTGTGCGCAGGGAGTCGGGGAGGCGGGTGACTATGTGGTAGAGAGTGATCCAGAGCGGGGGGGGGTTGCTGGTGAGGAACTCGTCAGGCATAGCAGCGCGAAAGCGGGCCTCACTGGTCTTAAGGTGGGTGATGAGGTCAGCAACTGTCTGAAAGGAGGCCAGGTCGGGGAACAGGTAGGGGAGAGTGAGGCGGCCTAGTGTGGCAGAAGCGGGGGAGGAGTAGCGAGCGACTACAGCAGTGTACAGGTCCTTAGCAGTTTTGTGCTGGCCAAAGTGCTCGCGCTCGTCGATCGGTAGGGAGTTACGAATAGCGAAGCGAGCGTGGGCGTCACGAGTCTGCCACTGTGAGCGCTGAGTGCTGTCAGCAGTGGTAGGAGGGGCAGTAGCGTTGCCTAGGGCGTGATCGTACAGTGAAACGTCCTCCTTAGCAGTGAGCTGTAGAAAGAGGTGGAGGTCATCGAGCCAGGTTTCGAACTTCACTGGACGGCCCTCAGCATCGAAAGTAAGTACAGTAGGAGTAGCCATAGCGGCAGTAGCAGTAGCGGTAGAAACAGTAAGAATGAGGCCGCAGGGAAGCTGTGGGCAGTGTCAGCACACGGGCGGCAGCAGCTGATGCGCACGGGCAGGAGCGGCAGTGGGCGCAGTAGCGGCGGCCGCAGTGGGAGCGAGTGCAGCAGCGGCAGCGGAAGCAGGCGCAACAGGAGCGCACGGGCGGTAGCGGCCGCGGCGCACGAGCGGGAGCGGCTGCGGGCGACGCGCAGGCGGTAGCTGCAGCGGCGGGCCCGTGGTAGCGGCAGCTGCAGCGGGCGACGAGCAGGCGGCAGCCACAGCGGGCGACGAGCGGGCGGCAGCAGCAGCGGGCGACGAGCGGGCGGCAGCTGCAGCGTGCGACGAGCGGGCGGCAGCAGCAGCGGGCGACGAGCGGGCGGCAGCTGCAGCGGGCGACGAGCGGGCAGGCGCTGCAGCGGGCGACGAGCGGGCGGCAGCAGCAGCGAGCGACGAGCGGGCAGGCGCTGCAGCGGGCGACGAGCGGGCGGCAGCTGCAGCGGGCGACGAGCGGGCGGCAGCAGCAGCGAGCGACGAGCGGGCGGCAGCTGCAGCGAGCGACGAGCGGGCGGCAGCAGCAGCGGGCGACGAGCTGCAGCGGGCGACGAGCGGGCGGGCGCTGCAGCGGGCGGGCGGCAATGTGCAGGCCGGCGGGGCCGCTGCGGGCTGCGCTATAGCGGTGCGAGCGGCGCACGGGCAGCGAGCCGGTCGCGCTCAAAAGAAATCAGCCGCGCGCGGGCAGCTAGCGGGTCGCGCGCGGTTAAAAAATAGAAAACGAGCCGCGCGCGAGTGGCTGGCGGGCTGCGCGCGCGCGGTAGGTAGGAGGCGCACTGAGGCGCGTAGGCGCACGAGGGCGCACGGTAGGTAGGTAGGTAGGTAGGTAGGTAGGTAGCGGTGGGCCCTAAGAACGGTCCTAGCGAAGGACCTGCTCTGAAACCATGTCGGAATCAACAGACAGGAATGACTGTACTAGCACAAAGTTGGATACAAGTAGGAAACCCTAATCTAGTGTACCCCCTAAGGTGTAACCCACTACAGCCTACAATCATATAAACATATAATGTTTGACACGAACTAACCAAGGTACACCCCATAACGGTCACTGCAAGTTGAAAACGCAAGGCTAAACCCACCTTGACAAAATGAGTGCTCTGCTTGACCTCCAAATCTTCCACTGCTTTTTTGGTAGGGGCTAGCTGCATTTCACGGACGAGCTTCTGCTGCTCAATCTCCGTTCGATATTTCATAGGGTAAGTCATGTCACCGAGCTTTTCATTTGGAACTTTGCATTTTGGGCAGGGGAAAGCAGTTTTGATCCCCGATTTGGTACCTGCCACCTTGCACTGCTCCGGGTAGTCCCCAACATATGCATAGGTGACAGGGTAGACCCAACGTTCGATCCCATAGGGGTCTGTCAGCTTCTCCCCCCTGTAGGGTAGGGTACGTATCAGATAGTCAATGTCAAATAAAATACGTAGAAACCAAATACAAAATACCAGGGAGGGGGAACGGAGGGGCCATGCATGGACGATGGAGATAGGTGGGCAGGGAAAACGACGGAGGAGGGGAGGGCCAGGGGGACGGCAGGGAGGAGGGCAGGGCGGAGGACAGGGAGGAGGGCAGGGCGGAGGACAGGGAGGAGGGCACGGAGGATGGTAGAGAGGAGGGCAGGGAGGATGGTAGAGAGGAGGGCAGGGAGGATGGTAGAGAGGAGGGCAGGGAGGATGGTAGAGAGGAGGGCAGGGAGGATGGTAGAGAGGAGGGCAGGGAGGATGGTATAGAGGAGGGCAGGGATGATGGTAGAGAGGAGGGCAGGGAGGATGGTATAGAGGAGGGCAGGGATGATGGTAGAGAGGAGGGCAGGGAGGATGGTAGAGAGGAGGGCAGGGAGGATGGTAGAGAGGAGGGTATGGAGGATGGTATAGAGGAGGGCAGGGATGTTGGTAGAGAGGAGGGCAGGGAGGATGGTATAGAGGAGGGCAGGGATGTTGGTAGAGAGGAGGGCAGGGCGGAGGGTATGGATGACTACACATTGTCGTCCTTTACATGCGAAAGGGCCACTCAGAACCACTCACTTTTTTAAAACGTTCATTTGTTCCTCCAAGATCATGCGCAGTGCATCGTGGTACACTTCATTCCGCCTGCGTGTGTCGTCAGCCCCTTTGAAGGTCTGGTCGTCAATTACAGGAAGGAGAGCGACCAGACGGCGGCCGTGGGATTTCCACCTGTTTGAGGAAGAGATGTTAGCGAGCGATATGTATACAGGCCACTGTTGGAGTAGGCTAGTGCTCGCTCTGGCATTTATCATGGTGTTCCTTTGTTATTTCACCATGCTTAGAGCGAGTTACACCTCCGGTTCAGTTTAGGTTCATTTAATAGTTTCTAGCACAAACTGAACACACCCTAAGTTCAATTAGGGTTTCCTACTTTTGTCTCTCGACACTTTTTCCTAATCAATTTTCTTCAACCTATCTTCCTAGCCATGGCTACCACTCCTATATTAACATGGTATACAGAGCCTAATCCTTGGCGTTTTCTGCTTATTTACATCTCTTAGGACGCTTTAGACCTTAGGCATCCGGGGCGCCACCTCCCACTCAGTGTAGATTTTTCGTTTCCTACCATCTCGACCCTCGATTTTCTCTTTGTTTCCCTCATTATTTAAACTCGCGGACCCCCTTTTCCATCCCCCGAGTCCTCCCTACCCCGTCGTGCGCCTCGTCGCTCAGTTGCACGCCATCTCCCCTCGTCGCGCGCGCCCTGCCCTGCCCTCCCGTCGTACGTCCTGCCCTCCCGTAGCCCGCAAGCGCCCTCCCTCTGCCGTCGCGCGCGCGCCCTGACTGCCGACGTCGCGCGCGCGCGCCTTGTTCGCCGCCGTCGCGCGCGCACAGTCTGCCCGCCGCCGTCACTCTCCCCGCCGCCCATTTTCTCCTTTCCGCGGCCGCCCTCCCTCCCCCCCCCCTTTTTTCGCGGACATTTTCCTCTCCCCTCGTGGTGCGCCGAACCCCTCCTTCCTTCCCCCCCTTCTCCTGCCTCCTTCGCACCACCTCTTTCCTCTCCGCTCAGCACACCCACCTCTTCCACTCCTCCCCCTCTCTTCTCTCCTCCCCCCCTTTCGTGCTCCTCCTCCATTCCTCCACTCTCCTTTGTGCGTCAAGCACCACCTCACCTCTTCCTCCTCCTATTTTCTCTCCATATCTACTACCCTTCCATACCATCCGCCCCTTCACCCTCCTCCTCCTCTCCTCTCTCCCTTCATTCCCCTCCCGATCTCCCTCTCTCTTGGCTTCTCTACCTCTTCTTCCGACCCCAGTCTCTTCATTCGCACCTCCCCCCACAGGCTTTACATTCTTGCATACGTCGATGACTTGGTGCTCCTCGCTGAAGATTCTGCCGACCTTGCCGCTGTCAAGCAGGCCCTCCAGGCGCGTCTCCTGTGCAAGGATCTTGGCGAGCTTCGTCATTACCTCGGCATGGAGATCCGTCGTAATCGTGCTGCCCGCACCATCTCTCTCTCTCAATCCTTCTACATCCACTCCATTCTTGAGCGTTTTGAAATGTCGCAAGCGAAGCCTGTTTCCACTCCTCTTCCCGCTAACCATCAGCTTACCGCCCCTGCTGTTCCCGCTCCCTCCTCAGAACTGCGACCTTATCCTGAGCTCGTTGGGTCCCTCATGTATGCTATGATGTGCACTCGCCCCGATCTTGCTTACCCCCTCAGTGTTCTCTCTCGTTTTGTTGGCCTTGGTCGCCACACTGACGTGCACTGGGCGGCTGCCAAGCGTGTTCTCCGCTATCTCCGCGCTACCTCTGATCTTGCACTCACTCTTGGTGGCTCTTCCCCCCCCGTTCTTTCCGGTTACAGTGATTCCTCCTATGCTGATTCTCGCCCTGATCGCCGCTCCTCCCAGGGTTATGGTTTCACTCTTGGCAGTGGCCTCATCAGCTGGCGCTCTACTCGTTCATCCTCTGTCTGTCTTTCCACCTGCGAGGCTGAATTGTATGCAGGCACATTGGCGGCTCAGGAGGCTCGCTGGCTCTCGTTTCTCCTTGCTGAACTTGGTCACTCTCAGCCCTCTGTGACGCTCTCCTGTGACAGTGCGAGCATGATTCACCTCACTGAAAATCCTGTCTATCACGCTCGCAGCAAACACATCGAGGTCCGCTACTTCTTCGTGCGCGAGCTGGTGCAATCTGGCTTCTTACGGCTTCGCAAGGTGGACGCTACTGCCAACCTTGCTGATATTTTCACCAAGGCCCTCCTACGTGCGCCACACCGTTTCTATGTGCGCGAGCTTGGGCTCACGCGTCTCTCTACTTCTGGGGGTGTGCCAATTCACTAGGTGTTTTGCTCCAGAGCTTCGCCTAGCCTGGGGGTGTGTTGGAGTAGGCTAGTGCTCGCTCTGGCATTTATCATGGTGTTCCTTTGTTATTTCACCATGCTTAGAGCGAGTTACACCTCCGGTTCAGTTTAGGTTCATTTAATAGTTTCTAGCACAAACTGAACACACCCTAAGTTCAATTAGGGTTTCCTACTTTTGTCTCTCGACACTTTTTCCTAATCAATTTTCTTCAACCTATCTTCCTAGCCATGGCTACCACTCCTATATTAACAGCCACCCGGTCACCCCGCCGTCAGTAGTCAAAGTTGTCTGATCAGAGTAAGGGATAACAGCGGCAACATGACCATTCACAGGCAGCGCATCTTCTACCTCTGCCCACCAGGTTCCAGTTTCAGGACCCTTGTAAATCCTCATCTGCTTTTTACCAAACCTACGAGCCCGAACCACGAATCCCTCTGCATTGGCCCGGTTCTGGTACAGCCCTCGTACACATGACATGCTTGAGCGCCAATACAGTACTACAGGCTTTAGGTCACCTGGCTTCCCAAGGCTTGTGGTTTGAAAGCCCTCCAACTGAGCCTCTGCAGTTTGTTTCTCCTCGAACCTATCAAAATCCCCTAGACTCCTAAGGTTAACACTACCCGGATTCTCAAGGGCCTCAATCAATATCTGAATCAGTTCTTTGATGTCAGCTCGGGACAAACCTGCACCCCCTGCAGCTGTCCTACAGAACTTGTAAAACCTACCATCCATGTCAACTAAAGAGGGGTTGCCTGCAGGGGAAAGGTCGTAGCCGGTCAAGTCTGTGTTGGGGGTCGCTGCATCCGTCTCTGGTTCTAATCGGTCCCCCAGTTCGCATGGAGTAACAATCCTACGTTTTCGGCTTCTGCACTCAAGAGCCTGACCTGCGGCCACAAAGCTACGCATGCTATAGCCCATGCCCGCCGTGCTAGCCCCAGCTAAACCCTGAATGCCGTGAAACGTATGCTTGCCCCTGCTCATGTGCGACGCTTTTTGTCGCTGAGTGGCAAATTTTGCTTCACAGCCCTCCTGATCGCACTCAAAGGGGAGGCTTTGTTGATCCATGTTGCTGCTGCGCGACGCCGCTAAACCTGATGCTGCGAAGTTACCTGCTGCACCACGCCACTGCGGCCTGCTGCCACCGCTTTGCGGATGCGAGCGCGCCTGCTTCTGCGAACTCATGCTGCTGCTACTGCCGCCGCTGCGCACTTGCTGCAGCTGCAAATGCTGCGAAAGCACCCTGCAACCGAACCTGTTCCTGCTGTTCATGCAACGTGCTCTGATCCTTCACGCCCAAATGCCGAACGCACATGCTGCTAATGTGCACCTGATGCAACACACGTACATGCCAATGCTGCTGCTGCTGCTATGCGCTGCTGATGGCTGTGCATCGAACACATCTGCTGCTGCTATGCGCTGCTGATGTTGATGCACCGAACACAGCCGCTGCTGCTATGCGCTGCTGATGTTGATGCATCGAAAACAGCTGCTGCTGCTATGCGCTGCTGATGTTGCAGCACCGAACACATCTGCTGCTGCTATGCGCTGCTGATGGCTGTGCATCGAACACATCTGCTGCTGCTATGCGCAGCTGATGTTGATGCACCGAACACATCTGCTGCTGCTATGCGCTGCTGATGTTGATGCACCGAACACATCTGCTGCTGCTATGCACTGCTGATGATGATGCACCGAACACAGTTGCTCCTGCTATGCACTGCTGATGATGATGCACCGAACACAGTTGCTCCTGCTATGCGTTGCTGATGCCGATGCACCGAACACATCTGCTGCTGCTATGCGCAGCTGCTAACGTTAGACCCGAAAGACTTCTGAAGCACCTGCTACTGCCGCGGCTCCTATCGCCCCTGCTGCAACCCGTTTCTGCTACTGCTGATGCTGCGAACGCACCTGCTGATGCGATCCCACCTGCTGCGCGCCGCTGCTGCTAGCGCGCTCCGGTGCTTTACGCGCACATCCCGCTGCCGCTGCTCCTAACGCCCCTGCAGATGCGCGTTGCTGCTACTGCTGATGCTGAGAATGCACCTGCTGATGCGATCCCACCTGCTGCGCGCCGCTGCTGCTAGCGCGCTCCGGTGCTTTACGCACACATCCCGCTGCCGCTGCTCCAAACGCCCCTGCAGATGCGCGTTGCTGCTACTGCTGATGCTGCGAATGCACCTGCTGATGCGATCCCACCTGTTGCGCGCCGCTGCTGCTAGCGCGCTCCGGTGCTTTACGCACACATCCCGCTGCCGCTGCTCCTAACGCCCCTGCAGATGCGCGTTGCTGCTACTGCTGATGCTGCGAATGCACCTGCTGATGCGATCCCACCTGCTGCGCGCCGCTGCTGCTAGCGCGCTCCGGTGCTTTACGCGCACATCCCGCTGCCGCTGCTCCTAACGCCCCTGCAGATGCGCGTTGCTGCTACTGCTGATGCTGCGAATGCACCTGCTGATGCGATCCCACCTGCTGCGCGCCGCTGCTGCTAGCGCGCTCCGGTGCTTTACGCGCACATCCCGCTGCCGCTGCTCCAAAAGCCCCTGCTGATGCGCGTTGCTGCTACTGCTGATGCTGCGAATGCACCTGCTGATGCGATCCCACCTGCTGCGCGCCGCTGCTGCTAGCTGTCAAAATACTAGGAGTGGGGCCTAGGCTTAGTAGCCTAGGCCCACACTAGGAGGTAGTAGGTTGTGCCCTAGGACTAGGGTTTGTGGTA